GTTTTCAAGTATGACTCAACCATTACCAATATGTTAATAAGAAATAGCCCAAGTTTGAATGTAAATGGAAGTGTTTATTCTATTCCATGTAGCAAATGTAATTGTAATTATGTAGGACAGACAGGAAAAACACTGCAGCTCAGAATCAAACAACATAAGTACAATATCAGAACAGCATCTGAAAGCAGTGCCTTGTTCATTCATGTTAGGAATAATAATCATCCCATTGCTTGGGAAAAAAGCTTAGAAGTATTTAAATCATCTTGTGTCACAGAAAGACTTCTGGTTGAAGCTAGTTTGATTAAGGAATTAAAATCGATAAACCTTAGTGATGGTCAGTTTAAAACTGATATGTTACAATTCACAGGAAGCCATAACACAAATGGATGGCTTTACTTTATACTGATGCAAGGCTTCCATAATCAGGAGGTCTGTCTCACAGTTGCCCCTGCCAAGAACTGAGAAATCAGACGGCGAAAACGGGTGGTCATGTTGATGGGCGTGGTTAAGGATAGCTGAATGTGGTGGTTGTATGATTAACTGGCCTGTTCGAACGGAACGGCCCAAGTACTCATGGATGCGAGTTATCAAATGTCTTTTTGTTTTACCTATATATGCTGCCCTACAGCTACCACACGTAAATTGATAAACAACTGAAGATTGCAGGTTTGTGGGTATGGTGTCTTTAATTTTAAAGATTTTTTTTTAATTGAACTCTGGGTTTTGAAGACTAGTCTAAGAGAAATTTGTGGATAGAATTAATTGAAAAGCTTCTTATTTGTTTCTAAGGGTGAAACTGAGTGGACCTGTGTAAAGAATGGTGAAATAGATGGAATATTTAGGATTCGGTGTGGATTTGAAGTTGTGTGGGACTAAACATTCTATTAATGGTTTTGCCAATATAAGTGTCTGTGAATCTCTTAGGGAACCATTCTTAAAGAGTAGTTCCTTGTGTATATTAGTTCAATGTCCAAGTGGAAATAGCTTGAATAATATATATTAAAGGCTCTGTTGGCAAGAGTACGTACTAGATTAGGTTTGTAATTAGAGGAATGAAAGATAAAAAATTTTGAACTCAAACCAGTGAATGTTGGTTTTCTGTATAAGGCTGTCTCGAAATTATTATGAAGACGGTGGATATTAACATCAAGGAATGGTAGAATATTGTCCTTTTCCAATTCATAAGTAAATTTGATGTTGCCATGTTTCGAATTTAAATAATTTAGGAACATAGGGATGTGATCAAGTGATCTGAAAATAAAAGAAGTGTCATCAACATACCGACGATATAGCGGGACATTCGGTTAGCCAAAACTTCTCGTGATGACAGAGGAAAGCGTTGGCCAACGTGGGATCTAAGGGTGAACTCATAGCAACACCATCACATTGTTCATAAGCTGTGTTATTAAATATAAACAAACAATCATTTACAGGCAACTTAGTCAAGATGTTTGTGTTTTCCCTGGTTCTCCTCTTCGTTATGAAACTACGCTTTCCACAACACGACTAATAAAGCATGGGATGCAGATACACGTTCTTCGTTGTGGACATAAACAAGAAATGTTTACAGGTAAGTAAAAAGTATTAAGCTGGAAATCCCCTTTACCTGCTGCTGGGGTTTCCCGTGATACACCTGTCTCCTATTGTGTCCAGAACCACAGAGAGTGGCATACCCTTAACATTTAATTCTTTATCGGTTATCTGTTTCATTTTAAATATTTTGAAACTACATAAGAACATAAGAAAATAAGGAGTCTGCAATAGGCCGGTTGGCCTGTGCATGGCAGCTCCTGTCCAGAGTTACTACCACTCTCTATCATCCATGAATCTATCTAGCCTCCTTTTGAAACTTTCCAGAGTTCCCGCACTTACTACAAAGTTGCTAAGCTTGTTCCACTCGTCCACCACCCTATTTGTGAACCAGTTTCTTCCTATCTCCCTCCTAAACCTAAACTTATCCAACTTGAATCCGTTGCTCCGAGTCCTATCCTGCTCGGATATTATAATAACTTTATCTATATCCCCTTTATTGATTCTTTTCACCCACTTAAATACTTCTATCATATCTCCCCGCACTCTTCGTCTTTCTAGGGAATGCAATTTAAGTTTCTTTAACCTATCCTGATATGGAAGGTTTCTAAGTCCCGGAATCATTTTTGTCATTCTTCGCTGCACCGACTCTAGTGAATTTATATCCATTCTATAATAGGGGCACCAGAACTGGACCGCATAATCGAGGTGCGGCCTGACTAGCGCAAGATATAGTTGCAATAAGACCACTGCACTCTTGTTACTTACCTTTCTAGATATAAAACCCAATACTCTGTTTGCCTTATTTCGAACATTAACGCACTGTTTTCTAGGCCGTAGGTCCGGGCTTACAAGTACCCCTAGGTCTCTTTCACAAGTCGACTTCTCTAGGTTGATGTTGTTAAGGCTGTATACATTATAAGTATTTGTTCTTCCAATATTAAGTACGCTGCACTTACTGGTGTTGAATTTCATTTGCCATTTTTCAGACCACCCCTGCAGTTTATTTAGATCCTCCTGTAATGTATTTGCATCCTGCCCTGAATTAATTTGCCGCCCTATTTTGGTGTCATCCGCAAACTTGCTTATGTCACTGCTGATCCCAGTATCTAAATCGTTTATGTAGATTATGAACAAGAGTGGGCCTAGTACTGACCCCTGGGGAACCCCACTGGTTACACGGCCCCACTCAGATTTAACACCATCTACGCTGACCCTCTGCGTTCTATCGGTGAGCCATGATTTTATCCAATTTAAAACTTTCCCCTCGATACCAAGAGCCTTAACTTTTCTCAGAAGCCTCTGATGCGGTACTCTGTCAAATGCTTTGCTAAAGTCTAAGTAAATAACATCGTAATTTTCGTCATTATCTACTACCTCGAAGACTTTCCTAAAAAACGTTAGCAGATTTGTTAGACAAATACTAGTTTATTTATTTCTGTAACTGATAAACACACTATAATCTTTCTCACTGAAACGATAAACAAGTCATAAATCTTATAACAACAACTCTTGATATAAATATAAGGTTGATGAAAGTCAGTGGTAATGTTCCCTTGTCCATCTGTTCCCCGGTTTTGTCATTGTCCCCGTGTTGTCAGTTTCCCAGCGTGGTCAGTATCCTAGTGTTGTTATTGTTGTAGTGTTATTACTGTTCTATTATTGTCAGGGTCCCAGTGTTGTCAGTATCCCAGTGTTGTTATTGTTGTAGTGTTATTACTGTTCTATTATTGTCAGGGTCCCAGTGTTGTCGGTTGTACCAGTGTTTTTAGTGTTCCAGTGTTGTCAGTATCCCAGTGGGGTTAGTGTGGCCCGGTGTTGTCAGTGACCCACTAATTGTTAATTTCTTATCATTCGCAAATTTATATTGTCAGTTAAAGTTCAATTTAGATCAGTGAATACAAGAGAATATGAATCTTACAAAATGACGAGGTATTAGTGGGATGAGAAGTTGGTGGTCATAACTAAGGGAGAACAAATTGTCACCATTCGAGAGAAGAAAAAAAGTTAATGAAAGGTAGTAAGAAAGATATTCATAAATTGTTCAAAAAAGTTCTTTCCAATGGTAACTTTTTGTAGATAATTAGATAACTGTTGTGAATAAAATAGTTTTTTAGCACTTTTAACATGAGTGAACTTCTGTGCACTGGTGTTTGTGTGTGCTTGTCTCTCTCTCTCATATATTAAAATAAACGTTCATCCTCCAGGTACAGTGGCAGCAAACAGTCTATTCCAGACCACGAAAGAAATTGTTCGCGGGTTCCCAGATTACGGTGTTGGAGGCCACCAACACTCCACCAGAAGTCCACCTGTTCACTCATCTACCAGGCCAGCTGGCCACATGTCCGCTGAGTCCGACAATAACCTTGGTGGCTATAATGCCTTAAGAGCGTCTATTTACAGTACAAGTCAGCCTGGCCACCCCGATCCTTCAAACGCTCAGGGCTACACCATGGGCCAAGTTGGACACCTTGAACCTTCCAACAGTAGTACCGTTGGAGGTGAGAGCCTACTGGCGTCCTCGTGGAAGTTTCTTAAATGTTCACAAGAAGACTTCAATCCACAAGCTTTTGCTGCTGTTCTTGATGTTAAGTACTGGAGTTAGTTCTGAAGATCGCATGTCGCATTTCTTGTCGGTAAACTCTACAATAACTGTTTATCTACTTCTGTAAGTAGTAAATGCTCTCATTTATCTACTGAGGAACGATGAAAATGACATATATCTTATAACAACAAATATCAATGTGAGTGTAAAGTTGATGAAAGTTTTAAAGAATAGTGAGAATAAGCCTGACTATATTTTACTCTTTTATATATTTTTATATTTTTTGCGCCTTTTTGTGTCATGTTGGTTAATTATATTTGATCCTCCAGTTACATTGGCAGCCAACAGTCCATCACAGACAAGCAAAGAAAATGTTAGCGGGTTCCCAGATTACGGTGCTGGAGGCTACCAACCCTCCACTACAGTTCCACCTGTCCACTCTTCTAACAGCCACATGTCCGCTGAGTACAACATTAACCCTAGTGGCTGTGACGCCTCCCTTACAGCTTCTGTGTGCACCGTTAGCCATGCTAGCCAACCAGACTCTTCCAACACTTCTTTCCCTCTCCCACCTTCCTCTCGTCAACCTACACTCCCACCTCTGTACATTCTACCTTCTACCACTTCTACATCCGGCAATTATTTCATCATGCAAATGACAGATGGCAGCCAGGCGTGTCAAATGGTTCCCATGAGTCTCGCCCATAGTCAGCTAAACCGCCCACCTGCATCACAGACATTCAATCCAAAGTTCAAATCCATTTGTCCAGAGTGTGGCATTACAGCGACAACAAAGGGGCATCTCAAGAGACATCTGAAGTGCCATGGTTCAAATAAACGTTACAAATGTCAAATGTGTAGCTGTGCTTTTAGTCGAGCTGATTACCTCAAACGCCACGTTGCAGCTGCACATCCGAAAGACTAGCATAGAAATAAAAATGGTAAGGGTGGAGAAAATACGTAATGACAATGTCTCTCGTGATACCAGCATTCACCCAGTCAGTGTATGTCGCGTGTGGTTTTAGCATGCAAGGTATATTGTCTTGTTTATTGTTGTACTTTAGGTGATTATTGTACAAGATGATAAGAGTGGTGGCATGTTCCTTACAGTGTTGACATGAACGATATACAGATTTACAATCACCAAAGATTCAGTAACATCAAGTCAATTATTCGTGATAAAACGTTATATGTGTGTTGATATTCTTAGATCTATTTTAGCTTTCTGATCATACATAATTATAAATACATTTGTATTAATGTTAAGTGATGACGTTGTATACAAGCATACATATACTGTATATATGTAACCGGTCGGAATTTACTGGACTTGGGGTTTATTAAAGATTATAAGATGGTAATGGCAGTGGAAGCGCCCCTTTGAGAAAAATCCCGAACCAGCACAAGAACACTTAAATCTACTAAACAAAATGAATTGTCCGTGACCCGCGGAAGGATAGCGTCTGTGACTGGGATGAATGAGACACACTGCAAAATTTAGACATTATATTCCCTCCAACACTACAAACACAATCAAATAATGGTACACCAATATGCGCACCTCTTAACTTGAACTTAAAACACTACTCTGGGGAATAAAAGTTATACATGATATAGAAATTATTAGAAACTCAGGCAACAATAAATTTGAAGTATTAAGAAATGTTGCTTGCACACATGAAACAGGCCTTAAGGGCTTTCACAAAATAATATCAGTCACTTAGGAAATGGTATTAAAAAATAAGAAATTAAATACTCTACCATGAATAGGCCTTAAGGGCTTTCAACAAAATAATATCAGTCACTGAGGAAATGATAATAAAAAATAAGAAATTAAATACTCTACAATGAATAGGCCTTAAGGGCTTTTAACAAAATAATATGTCACTGAGGAAATGGTAATAAAAAATAAGAAATTAAATACTCTACAATGAATAGGCCTTAAGGGCTTTCAACAAAATAATATCAGTCACTGAGGAAATGGTAATAAAAAATAAGAAATTAAATACCCTACAATGAATAGGCCTTAAGGGCACTCAAAAAAAATTATATCACCCCAACAGATGCACACTTCCTAACCTAACTTAACCACTACTCTGGGGAACAAGGTTATACCTGAGATCAGAATTATGAAGAACAATCAGATGCATTAAAAGAATCAAATCACAGTATCACTCTGGTTCCACTTAATGACACAAACATCCAAAAAACAATATTATCAAAATTATTTAAGAAATATTAAACTACACACGTCAAGATAATATCAGTAACTGAGAAATGGTATTAACTACCCCCAAATATATTCACTATTATTAATATGTTACTGGGTCCACCAATACTCGTGAACCATGCTCCACCCAACTCAACATACACCCGTAATAAGGGAGATAAAATGTTCCTCTAGGTATCTCCTAGAGTCCTAGACTCATGGTCTCAGTGTGTGACCATTAATTTACTCAGATAGCCTCAGTGTACTCCCAGTGCGTCCATAAAGCGGAAGGGAGTGAGCCAATCAGACCTTGTACAGTTGAGAGAAGCTTTAGCTTCCCGTTAGCAAGAGGGTTTCACTAAGCTGCTCGAGACATGTGGTGTTGTGAGCCGAGGTAGAGGAGAGCTGCTGACCCAACGATCGTCCCGTCGTCAGCTGGGCACCCAGACGGCTAGATTCCCTCAAGAGATCCTTTGATACCCCGCTAAACAGTGACAGGCCTACACTGATCGGTCCAATGGCGACAATCGCCACCCTCAATCATCAACGGCAGTCTCAAACGGCAGTCAATCTCTCCCAGTCGAACTCAAGTCAACTCAGGTCAACTCCGGTCAAGTGGGTTCTGACGGAAACCCTGAAATGAACTCACTGTTAGCTCTAGTTTACTTTATCACTGCCCTATCTAAACCCTGTCTGAGATCGAATGAGACTTACTTGTTATACTGCAATAGCGCAGCACAGGTGACTAGGCCACGTGACTATTTCTGTGACGGACGCGCAGGGACGTCTTGTTTTGTCTGAATGCTCCCCGTGACTGAGGCCCAGCCAGCGTCGCGTCTCCTCTCAAGGCGTTAGCTTAGGCCTACGTGACATATTTTCCGCCTAACTAATAACTCCTTGGGACACCCGTAACATTATTCCGACTGATAAACGATCTATAATAATTTCAAATTCAATAATAGTCCCTTAACTTCATGAATCGCATCATTATTAATTCGGCAAATTACATTTAATATCATATAGGCCTAGTTCCACAAACTCTCGCTATGTGCAGGGAGCGCTCTCTTCCCTCCGACGACCTTGAACGCTCAGTATCGCCAATGGCGGGGCATTCGAAATTACTCTGAAATTTCTGAATATACATATATATATATATATATATATATATATATATATATATATATATATATATATATATATATATATATATATATATATATATATATATATATATATATATATATATATATATATAATTTGTCTAGACATTTTATTGTTTTACATGATAAACTTTGTAGAATTAATATCAATCTTAATTTACTTTGTAGTTAAAAATGTGACGAATTGTATATTGTATTTGAAGGTATAAATGAAATTATGTTTACGAGGTGTTTGTGTTCCTTAGTATGAGATGTGTGTTAGGGAGAGTCTGTGTTGGGTCTCATTGTTGCAGCTCCTCAGGATGGTGGATGAGAGAACATACATAAGAAAATAAGGAGTCTGCAATTGGCCGGATGGCCTGTGCATGGCAGCTCCTGTCGAGAGTTACTACCACTCTCTATCATCCATGAATCTATCTAGCCTCCTTTTGAAACTTTCCAGAGTTCCCGCACTTACTACAAAGTTGCTAAGCTTGTTCCACTCGTCCACCACCCTATTTGTGAACCAGTTTCTTCCTATCTCCCTCCTAAACCTAAACTTATCCAACTTGAATCCGTTGCTCCGAGTCCTATCCTGCTCGGATATTATAAGAACTTTATCTATATCCCCTTTATTGATTCCTTTCACCCACTTAAATACTTCTATCATATCTCCCCGCACACTTCATCTTTCTAGGGAATGCAAGTTAAGTTTCTTTAACCTATCCTGATATGGAAGGTTTCTAAGTCCCGGAATCATTTTTGTCATTCTTCGCTGCACCGACTCTAGTGAATTTATATTCATTCTATAGGGGGCACCAGAACTGAACCACATAATTGAGGTGCGGCTTGACTAGCGCAAGATACAGTTGCAATAAGACCTCTGCACTCTTGTTACTTACACTTCTAGATATAAAACCCAATACTCTGTTATACGGCGAGGCAACTGAAATATAATACAAATATGACTGATACTTTTAAATTAACTCGGCTACAGTACTTTATACCTGATGACAACAGGAATTAAACATTGTAGACATGTTAAAGGAGATCTAAAATGAAGGATACAGAACACAAGGTCCAACAAAATATACGAACCAGAGATGGGGAGGGACTATAAGAAGCAAAGAAAATAACATCGTATTTGAGGAGGAAGTAAATAATGTGGGTAGAGAATGTTAAGTAACTGTACAACGATAATGAGGGAGTTGAGGTAAGAAACGAAAGGAAATAAAACAGTATAAGTGAAACACTGATGAAAGAGGAATAATATCTGAACTTGTATGGAGAAACTGAGATGGAAAATTCCACCTAGCCACAGATATTCGGAGAGCGGTTTATAATGGTGTAAGATAACTCTTAAAGGGGGCAGGTATTGCGCTTACCTGACCTCACCGGGAACACTAATCACCAAAAGTATTATAAACTTTGTCAGGTAGACACTCTTTGTTGTCATGTCCAGCAACTACGTCCTAATGGCAAAGTGTGCTGCTCCCCAAATTTATATTACTGTAAACATTACAGTAACTCCAAATTCAATTTTCAGTAAATTCGTAGAGCCAGATTTGATTAAAGACACTGAATGTGACTGTCATTTGGATGTTCGAATCACAAAAATAAGCTAAAAAAATTCTTGCGTTTTCCAAGCTGTGGACATTGATAATGTTTGAATTGTTATTTACTTCGACTTTAGCAAGGATTGTGAAGGATCCCGAAACAGATTAATTAAACGCTGGTACACGGCGAAAATTGATGGCGATGTTGGGTAATATTTAAAGAAAGGCATAAATATGCTTTTAGAATTGACCAAAAACTGGGAAATGCTGTTTGATACATTATTTTGTCGGCTATAAGTGTTGGGTAAGAGTTAGTGTCAAGATACACACAAAACCAAAAACATAACAGCACGTCAAAATCACTCATGTGCCATACACTGGAGCTGTATGTAATGTGATTTATTATATATTTTCGGGTGATTTGTATATTCCATTCATAAATTGCTTAGAAAAAAAATATATATATATATATATATATATAATATATGTGTATATATATATATATATATACTGTATATATATATATATATATATATATATATATATATATATATATATATATATATATATATATATATATATATATATATATATATATATATATATATATATATATATATATATATATATATATATATATATATATATATATATATATATATATATATATATATATATATATATATATATATACAAGTAAATCACTGTGAGTGCGCGTGATCTGGGTATATGCTGATAACCACAAGGAAAGAAGAAAACTTTGAGCGTTTATAACTGCATATGCAGAATCACTGCCTGATATATATATATATATTGATAAAATCACACAGGGAAAAGGGAAACAATGGTGCTCCATTGTTTCCCTTTTCCCCTGTGTGATTTTATCAAGATTTATATTATCCACGTTTTCATTGTGAATCTACATGAAATATATATATATATATATATATATATATATATATATATATATATATATATATATATATATATATATATATACACTATATATATATATATATAT